TCTCTACACAAACACTACAGGCCAGAAGGGACTGGCAAGATACATTCAAAGTCCTGAATGAAAACAAGATGCAGCCTAGGATACTCTATCCAGCAAGGCTATTCTTTAGAATAGAAGGAGAGATAAAGAACTTTACAGACAAGCAAAAACTAAAAGAGTTTAGCAACATTAAACCCATGCTAAAAGAAATATTGTCAGGTCTACTCTAAATACAAAAGAAGCAGGATGCTACAAAAATGAGAAACTCATAACTGGAAAGGAGATAACTGCCATGAATTACAAATAGAATAAACACAAAATTGTAAAAGAAGACATCTAAATCATTAAGAGTGGCAGAGGGAAGCAAAGAAAGCCACTGTGGGAAACAGTATGGAGATTTCTCAAAAGACTAGGAATAGACTTACCATATGACCCAGGAATCCTGCTCCTGGGCATATATCCAGAAGGAACCCTACTTCAAAATGACACCTGCACCTCAATGTTCATAGCAGCACTATTTACAATAGCAAAGACATGGAAACAGCCTAAATGTCCATCAACAGATGACTGGATAAAGAAGAAGTGGTATATTTATATGATGGAATACTACTCAGCCATAAAAACCGACAACATAACACCATTTGCAGCAACATGGATGTTCCTGGAGAATGTCATTCTAAGTGAAGTAAGCCAGAAAGAGAAAGAAAAATACCATATGAGATCACTCATATGTGGAATCTAAAAAAAGAAAATAAAACATAAATACAACAGAAACAGACTCACAGACATAGAACACAAACTTGCGGTTGCCAAGGGGGCGGGGGGGAGGGACAGACTGGGATTTCAAAATGTAGAATAGATAAACAAGATTATACTGTATAGCACAGGGAAATATACACAAGATCTTGTGGTAGCTAACAGTGAAAAAACAATGTGACAATGAATACATGTATGTTTATGTATAACTAAAAAATTGTGCTGTACACTGGAATTTGACACAATATTGTAAAATGACTATTACTCAAAAAAAAATGTAAAAAAAATGAGGTTGAGATTCAAAAGTAATAATTTCTTATCTTTGAGGCAGTCTCCCTATTTTACTACAAGTAAAATGTGCTCCTTGACTTCTTATTCTAAGATGGCAAAATTGTGTCTTTGTGTTTCCATTCAAAGCATTTATATGTTTATTTACATGTTTTGCTCCAAGCCACTGAGAATTTTAGCCTAGAACTCTGCAAAACCTGGTTGTATATGTGAGTGTTGATAGTCTGACTACATGATTCTTTATGTATAGAAACTAATAATGTAGACCTACGGTGAAATAACATATCCAAATATTTTGAAAACTTCTAATTCTGAAACACTTATTTTTTCTATCCATTGTTTTTGATTAAAAAAAGTTGCTAACAATACTCTTGCCTTTATTGGAGTCTTCATGGTTTGTTGTTTCTATTGGCAATTCATCACTTCCCCATGTTATGTCATCATCATCAGTCTTCTTTTCTTCTGACTTTTGAACTAAGCTATGACAATAAAACATATTTATAA